CCCTCTTTCAGTTTAAAGCCATTGCCCCTTGTCCTATCACTATACACTCTTGTAAAAAGTCCCTCACCAGCTTTCCTGTAGGCCCCCTTTAGGTACTGGAAGGCTGCTATAAGATCACCGCGGAGCCTTCTCTTCTCCAGGCTGAACAGCCCCAACTCTCTCAGCCTGTCTTCACAGCAGAGGTGCTCCAGCCCTCGGATCATCTTTGTGGCTCTCCTCTGGACTCATTCCAGTAGCTCTATGTCCTTCTTGTGTTGGGGACTCCAGAGCTGAACACAGTATTCCAGGTGGTGTCTCACGAGAGCAGAGTAGAGGGGCAGAATCACTTCCCTCAACCTGCTGGCCACGGTGCTTTGGATGCAGCCCAGGATACGGTTGGCTTTCTGGGCTGCCAGTGCACATTGCTGGCTCATGTTGAGCTTCTCATCCACCAGCACTCCCAAGTGCTTTTCCTCAGGGCTGCTCTCAATCCATTCTCCGCCCAGCCTGTAGTTGTGCTTGGGATTGCCCCGACCCACGTGCAGGACCTTGCACTTGGCCTTGTTGAACTTCATGAGGTTCTCACAGGCCCACCTCTCCAGCCTGTCAAGGTCCCTCTGGATGGCATCCCTTCCCTCCAGCGTGTCCACAACACCACACAACTTGGTGTCATCTGCAAACTTGCTGAGGGTGCACTGAATCCCACTGTCCATGTCTCCAGCAAAGATGTTAAATAGCACTGGTCCCAGCACCGACCCCTGAGGAACACTTGTCACAGGCCTCCACATGGACATTGAACCGTTGACTACAACTCTTTGAGTGAAACTATCAAGCCAAATCCTTATCCACTGAGTGGTCCATCCATCAAAACCACGTCTTTCCAGTTTAGAGATGAGGATGTCGTGTGGGATTTCATGCTTATCGCATGGAAACAGGCTGCAGAGCAAGAACCAACACAACTCTCCCAGCTGACTGCCCAGTCGACATCCCATAAAGTCAAACTTCTGCTTTCAATTCAGTGAAACTAGCAGGCTCTCTTCTGCAAAATGGCATCACTATACAAGGAGAAGCACAATCTGCTCATAACTCAGAACAGTATACTGTTTATCACCAGAACTGAGAAGTAAAAGAGGAGGCTTCCAGTCTCCCAAATATAGAAGGAATTCAAAATTCAGATCTGCTGTATCCTGGACAAGAACTCTCACTCACTAGTCTGTGTTAAAAAGAACGACCATATAAGAGGATTTTTTTTTTTTTTACCCTTGAAGCATCCCATGCCTTTACCATGCGTTAAGTTCACTGTACAAACAACTTCAGCCTGGAACAACTGCTTCAGGTTAGGCAGAAGGAAAAGAGTTTAGCTTTCCACTGTGGCTCTTTGTTCTAACAGCAACTGCTTCTCAAGCATTTTCTCTGTAAAACACTTGTGAACTGGTTGCTTTGAAAGGTTTCATGGGCCATGTGATAAAAAAAGGTGTGGAGTGAGATGCCTGTGTATGTGCAACTGGCTCACATATGTAAATAAATCACACACACATTCAAGAAAAGGATATACATGCACACTCTCACAAATTCAGAAAGCATCTGCTTCTTTTGGTACGGTTCCCTCCCCTAATTAATAAGAAAAATTCACTCCATTCACAAAACCAAGTTCTTTGTTCTCTCCAAACAAGTTTGGCTGTGTAGCATCTTTCAATCCAGCCCACAACAGCAACAGACCACAAACAATACCTTCTTTGATCGCCTCTCCTAGTTCTGCATGAAAAGCTATTATATGATTTCCAATAGTGATCCTTCAACACCTCCAGCACAGACATTCATTCATTCTAATTACAATTCATTACTGGCAATACACATTTGCTTGATAGGTAGCCAGACTTTGAGATTAATTTGGCTCAAAAAGCAGCAGCATAAATACCTGTCCCAGAGCACTTCTTCTGACACACAAGTACTGTAGAAGCAAGAGATCCTTTTGTAAGATAAGGTCACACTGCTGAGAAGTTGCCATATTGCTAACAGTTTCTGTGTCACACAGCTACAACTCTACCAAAGGCAGCTGTGCGTAACCTGAGAGCATCAGAGCGCCCCATACACTCATCTGTTTTATCTTTCTTTCATTGATCTACTTCACTTTGGATTTGACTTTAAAATCTCAAATATTGCTGTAAAGGCTTATTTTTGTTGCTTCAACCCACTTTTAATGTTATGCCTGTACCATGAATGTTTTGGTGATATTAGCTAACTGCATGTCTCACCAGCAAACTGCTCCTAGCATAGACAGAGCTTTTATGCATGCAACTTAATGCAGCCCCACAGCAGCAGAGTGAGGGACTGGTCTTGCCAATACAACAGCATCAGTTAAAAACTGCAGATATTTATCCCCCCCTGGCAATAAGGTTATACCAGCAGATGCTAATCAGTTACGCACAGCTTGAGTTATTTTGGAATTTCAGGCTGGTAGTAGAGATAATGAAACTTACTTCATGCAAATATTTGAATCTCTGTTGACAGACTATTTGCACCAAGTCAGAGCCTTGGGCATAGGATTATTAAAACAGAATAAACTGACTTTCCCATTTCAGAGCACAGAAGAAAGTGAAAGGATGACTTGTAATGAACATGACAGAAAAATAATGTTCTTACAGAAGAATTTGCGTCTTTACTCACTTTCATAAACATCACTGTTTGCTATTTATCAGACATCCCTCTCCCCTTTCCCAGGGCACACATCACGCATACTTGTCATTTTCTCTCTTTTTCTCACTCCCAAACACATGCAGGCATGTGTGCTCTAACTCACTTATCACTAGTAAGGCAGCTTTACTTTATGTGAACAACTTCTGCTAATACAGAAAATGTCACTTTTAGATAAGCAGTAGCAATGTAATACAATGTCTAAAACAGAAATACAGTTGGAGGAAGTTACATGTCATTTACTTAGTCCCTCTTAGTAACTACAAAAGGAGCCTTGCTTTGCTAATTCATCTTTGATTTCAAGCTGTGGGTGGATGCCTAATTATAAAAACAATACTTCCAAAATGGAAAAAAAAGAGCTGTCATATTTATTCTGTAACCACAGAAAACGGACAGGGCAGTATAAACATTCAGGAAGAACCACACAGCAACAGAAAAGTTTAGGCTGGAAGAGATCTCCAGAGGTCAACCTCCTGCTCCAGTCAGGGCAAGTGTCGAAGTAAGATCAGCTCTCTTAAGAGACATTTCCAGCTATGTTTTGGAAAAGTCTGAGGATGTGGACTCCACAGCCTCTCTAGGCACCCTTTTCCAGTGTTAAGCATTCTTGCTGAGATTTTTTTTTCCTCATGCTCAATTGAAATTTCCTTCAATACAAGTTACAACTGTTGTCTTTCATCTTGTCATAGCATAACTCTAAGGAAAGCCTGGCTTCATCTTCTCTCTGCAGCCCCTTAGACACCAGAAGACTCCAGGCTCATCCTTCCTTTACTTTTACCTGTTTGAAATAAGCCAGTTCCTTCTGCCTCACCCCAAATGTCACATAATCAAGCTTTCTAGCCATGTCAGTGCACTTTCGCTATTTCTTTCCACTTTGTCAGTATCTCATTTGTAGTAGGTTAGAAGACATTAAAAAAAAAAAAAAAAGCCTATAAATGTGCACTCATTCTGGTTTATTTCCCATGAAAAAAAAAATTCTCACGACATTAAAAATGCCCTCAGCTCATGCTGAGGTCAAACCCAGTTTAGTTGTCGTCTATCCTTTAAAGAAGAGGAGCTGATGATGAAGCATGAACAGTATGTAACCTTTCACTAAAAAGTTTTCCTTTCTCTACTGAAAATGACTAAGTCATTACTATGTGTCAAATTTTTGTTGAAACCTACCTCAACAACTTCTACTTGCCACTGAGGAAGATGCATTAATACAGTTCTTCTAAGTGTAATCATAGAACAAGAACACTGTTACAAGAATCATTTCAATTCAGTATCAGATCGATTTGGAAGTTCAAGACTTATTACTAACCAAAACTGGGACGAACCGTGCTAATGTTTTAAAATGGAAAATTACATACAAGTACTGCACGTAGTAAGTCATTAGGCAACTACAAAGACAGAGAGGGACAAGAAATAGGTTGTAGTTATTAAGTCTAAGTAATAAAAGACCCAAATATTTCTACTTTCAAATATAATTGGACATTAAAAAGCAGTGTCTGTTCCTTAATGTACAGTTCCCTCTTCCGACAAGTAAATGGCAGCCTCAGCATGCCACCTCAAAGTCCGCCATATAAGAATAATCAGATATGCTTTTGTTAAGGGTTTTTTTAACTACTATCTACATATCTTTTAAAAATATGTCTGCTACATTAGATATTTTCAGAGAGATTTGTATATTACCTGTAACGACACCACAGTACTGATTCTGAGAAGCTGGCTTTTCAGTAATTTTCTCCTCTATGGACCTTTTTCGTCTGTACACCCTGTGTGCATGACCTGTCACAGCCAAAGTGCGATTGAGTGGCTCAATAAATATGAAGTCCTCATTAATCTGTATAAATCCCATCTGCAAAGAAAAACAAAAGGAACACATAAGATAAGAATTTAAGAAAGTATGAAACTGTGCACAGTCCTGCAGAAGAAAAACCCCACAAAACCCCATTTAAGAAAAACCTTTGTTTCAGTAACCTTACCAGTAAGGTGACTACCTTTATATTTTACAAGCCTTTCTACTTAAGTGAACTAGAATAAATTTCATTTATTTCAACTAAATCTGTGTGGGTGGGTGGCTACATGCCAGTAGCAGATGCACAGTAAAAGATCTGGAATGTTAAAAGTTTGCTTTGGGAGACCCATGGGGTCATTTAAATATGTACAGCATGTACAGAAAAGTCTATACTCTAGTTTTATTACTCAGTGTATTGTCACATTTTTAGATAACAATATTTAATGAAATAACAGGAATAATTTAGGGCATAAGAATACATCCCAAACAACTATGAGGCTGGAAAAGACATCTTGTAACACTCCTTTTACACTTCTTCAAATTAAAAAAAAAAAAGTAGAAAAAAGGCAGATAAAACAGAAAAACATTCTAATACAGCTATTTAATTGGTTAGTTTCCCTTCTGCCTCAACATATTTATACACACAAACATACATAAAAAGCTGACACACCAGATGCATATCTAATATTAGAAGAGCGTGGCCAAACTTAAAAAAAGTACTATAAAATGTGTTTATATAAATACCATACAAATCTAACTCAGCTTAAATTGTTCAGCTGCCAACACACATAAGTTCCTAACAAGAGTAAAGCTGGAGACAGCAAGGTTTTGTGGATTTTTTTTTCTCCTACAAAATGTCATCAGCAAGACTGACAGTTAACTTTCTCATTCTCTAAACTTAAAAACCTATTAAATAGTTTTACTGCAGAATGCAAGCACAATGTGGTACATCTGGCTAAGAGAAGCAAAGAGCTCTTCTGTATGTTTCATTGCAGCATGAATGGAGAGAAATAGAAAAGAATTTTGTTTCTTCTGGAATTATGTAGATGCCATTATCACATTGGATATCCTGCCTGACATATGGATAAATCATCAAAAAGAAATTCCAATCCAAGCAAGAAAACAAAATTAAATTTTAAAGGTGATATAAAATACAATTTCCTTCAAACACAAATGGGCATTACTTTAAAAAGAAAAAACCCAACACAATCTCTGCACAATCACTTTAAATAAATGTGAATACATGTATTTAATTTTTCAATCAGCTACACTAGCTGCAGAATGCTGAACAGATGTTGAAAGGTCATCATTAACATCATACAGAAACATAAGAGTAGCTGGGTTTGTTTGGCTGTTCCGCTTCCTTTTTGCACTTACTTTTTAGGTCAGTTTATCTTCATCATGAGTTTTAAATGTGACACATTTAGAAGATTAGCTACTTAAGTATTGCTAGGTACTTTCCATACACCTACCAGATACCACTTCTATATATCTCCAATAATGTTACCTTTACACAACAATTAACTTTTCTAATATAAACTATAAACTATGTTCAAAGAAATATTATTTAAAAGCGTAGTTCTCAAATACTAGTAAGATGTATAAACTACTTTCCATTCGATTTTTATGTCTAATGCTGAATTTCAATCAGGCATAATTATTTTTTTTAGTTATTATTTAGCCTATGAAAGATGCTGATAAACTCTGGGTTTTAGAACAGGAGTAGCAGCCCATCAGGTGGTGATGCAGGTTTCTCCTGTCCACGTACAAAAAACAAGCCCTTAGTCCACCTTGAACAAAGACTCAATCATAGCACATTTGTCATATTTCTACTGTCTTCATTCTTTTTGCTGCAAAATGAAACCAGGGCTTTAAGATGCTGTTCTTCAGACTCCCAACTAGACACAGTGAGAAGCTGTGTTAGGATCACTGACATTTTGGTTTTTTTCAGCTCCTTGCATAAGCTGAAGGTTAACCCATTGGTAGAGAACTCCAAAAATTACTGCCAGTCTCCTGAGTCAGAAGTTAAAGAACTGAACATTGATGTAAAGTTTATTGCATAAAATTAACCTCAGTTATATATATTCAAATGGGTAATTTTCAGACAAATCTGGATAACCAAATAACCTCTGTGATCATTTCGACTGCTTTTGAAAAAAAAAAAAAAGTGACTATTTCTCCATCTATTGCACACTTTGAGGTAGAAAAGGGAAGATGAAGCCATATCCTTGACGACCATGTCCTTATTTTTTCATAATCATTAGAAGTGGAGTTAAGATCTTCTACCATAAAACTAAACATAGGAAGCATGGAAAATCAAAGCTATGCATTAAAGTACCATCGTTTCAACATGTATAGGACAGCAGGGTGAAATACAAGCTTCAGACAGTTCAAATGGCAAAACCTTCATGTCATGAAAACGCACAGCAAAACATAGATTAAAAATAAGTAAAAAACTAATATGCATCTGAGGTAGAGCTGTAACTGAGTTCTGAGCGACTGATCCATTTCCCACTAGATTAATCTGAAGAGGTACCACCGCTCACAGCTGCAACTGAAAGGCTGCCAGGATGGTGGACTTATCTCATGCAAAAGGTAACACAACATGCCATTCTTTCCCCTGCATTTTCAAGTTTCTTACCTGAAATAAAACAAAACTTGAATGTAGCACACATACATCCCAGTAGAGTTCAAGCCCAGCACAACCTCATTTGGCAAAAAAGTCCTCAGACGTCCAACGTAAGGATGAACTGGGTACTTGTTCTGCATTTTATTTACTTTATACAGTAGAGTCAGACCTTAAGTACAGGGCAGACTTCAGCAAATGAGCATGGAAAGCATTACATGGGACTAAGTATGGACTCTCTGAAATGGACTCACATCTACCACATGTATTTTAAAGCAGATACTTGCCCTCATAAATGAAAGCTTCTCACAACATACATTCACATCATATCAAGAGCTTTCACTTTTTTAAAAGAAACAAACACAGAAAAAACCACGTGGAAATACTAGCCCTGAATGAAAACTAACATTTTGTCTTATCTCAAATAAAAATAGTTCCCAGCTGAAATATATCGCCAATCACTAAAAGTAGGCAGATCAGAATTCTTCTAAAATATGAAATCTGGGTTTTTTTTCTTACATCCAACTGGAAATATCAGAGATGAGAGACAAAGAATGAAAAATATCAGAATCTTCTGGGCAATTGCATCTGATAAAAGACATGATAACTGAAACTGCTATGCCATCTTATTTCTAACATCTGTGTGAGAACACTCATGCTAATCCTTTCTGCCCAGCATTTTTTTCTTAAAAGGACAGCAATATCTTTTTCCCTATGCGGAGCATATATAAGGATTTGACATTCTGTCATGTATCCTATGAAACCCTGAAGTAAATCTACTGTTTCTAATAAAGTTGTATTACCAGGAGAAGTTATACAAACACAAAAGTGAGGTAAATTTGTGAAGACCACTTATGCATATAATTACCAGATACTGGGTATAAGACAGGAAATGTCAAGATTGGCAAAGAGACTCTTACATACTCTTCCTTGCATCCCAGTTCAGAGTGGTGTCTTGTTATCATGCAACGTTGAAACAATGCAGATTTTGAATATAATATTGTTACTTGCAGAATTTATACAAATAAGGCAGCAAAGGAACATAAGAAAAATTAATATGAATTCCTAAGAACAGAAATTGAGAAGTAAAAAAAGAAAAAAATATATTTCCCTTGTGATTGTTACCACAAAAAAAAAAACAACAGGATGACAGAATAATAACAACAAGCATGTACTACAGTCAGAATTTAAGCCATTCCCATTTCAACATCCCAGAATGAGATGGAGTACAGATAATACTTTGTCAAAAAGGAGACTTACATATCATAAGACAGTTATGAAATAGCATTTTTCCGATAAGTTGTTTTTAACACAGAGATTCATTGAAATGCAATAATAAATGCAGATAACATAACACAGACTTCAAAGAAACGTCAGAACATTAAGGCTTTTTTACTTTTTTAAACAAAGTAGTTTGCCAGCTCCAAAGGATGAGTTTCAGTGGTCTACAATTTATCACTAGTTGCTTATGTAGTAGCAGTTTCTAATCCTGCAGCTTGACATGTCAAAGCAAAATATTTCATTCACTAAGCAATCCACCTCTGTGGTGGGTTGACCTTGGCCAGTTGCCAGATGGCCATCCAGCCGCTTCTCCTACTCCTTCTCCCCAGTAGGACAGTGGGAGAAAATAAGACTAAAAAAAAAAGCTCATGGGTGAAGGTAAGGACAGGGAGATCATTTAGCTATTACCATCATGGACAAATAAAACTTGACAAATAAAACTTGACTTGCAGAAAATTAATTCAATTTATTGCCCGCTATAACAGATTTGAACAGTGAGGAACAAAAATAAATGGAAACACCACCTTCTGCCTGCACTCCGAGTGGCAGGTGGGGAACAGGGGGTACGGTCAGCACGTAACCGTTTCTCTCTGCTGCTCCCTCATCCTCACACTTTACCCTTCCTCCCTCTCCACAGGCTGCAGTCCTTCAGGATAAGCCTGCTCCAGCATAGACTATCCACAGCCCACAGTGTCCTTCAGGGTATGTCCGCCGGCACCGGTCCCGGGGTCCTCCATGGGGATATCTGCTCTAGCACCTGGAGAACCACCTCCTCCTCCCCCTCCTCTACCCTTGGTGTCTGCAGAGATGCTTCTCTCACTTTCTTTCCTTCCTCCTCACATGGCCGGGCAGCATTTTACCCTCTCCTTTTCTCAGGGGCGCCACTGTCTTGGCTGAGGGGTCAGCTGTGCCCTAATGTTGGTGTGTTCCCCTAAATGAGCAGTAGATTCAAAACTTCCTAATTCTCACCTGAAGCAAATTCCCGTCATGTTACACCTTTCTTGTTTTCTCACTACTCTTTTGTCTCTTCATCCATTCGACAGGCATCTCAAATGAGAATTCAGTAATAAACGGACATAAAAGCTGCCACGCCATGACCCCAGTAAAAACTTCCCAAGCTTTACTCTCCACTGCCCTGTGAAGCAAAGGCACA